AGAAACTATATTTACTCAAAAAGCCGTAAAGATGTTTAAAGATGATACGCTCGAATATTTTAGATACAGAATTCAAGAGAGTTATTGGACGGTAATTAGAGGTTAATTGGGAATCCCCAGATTTATACAGAGGACAAATATATCCCAGCTTCCAAGAGGTAGAAAATTGTCCAGTGTCTAAAGATTCATTGAATAGATATGTTAATATTGGTGCAACAGAGATAGCTGCTTCTCTAATCATGCGGTTAGTTATACCGGGTGAACTTGCTTTTGAAGTGTCTATTTTTGATAAGAGTTCATATACTTCTGTTTTATAAATATGAAAAATTGACATTTTTATACGCGTTTTTGTCAAAACAGGAAAGGTATGATTTTGCTTTAATGCTGTACAAACGCTAGTAAAATGTTTGTTCAATAAATTTGCCTTATCAATCGGTTTTGTAACTGTATTATTAGAAATATTGTCTATCAGTGAAGGAGTAGAAGATTGACTGTGTTTGCCTACCGCGTGTTTAAGAAAACTCCACCATTTTTTAGAAGAATGATTAAGCTCAGCAGATTGTTTATCAAAATACTTTTTCTTTGTTGTATTACATGCTTCCTCAAACTGTTTAGCTGAATTTAAGTAAGCTTGATAAGCATGAGGCGATGGATGTAGTGGTTGTGAATATTTTTTATAGAGTATGTCACGTCGTTTTAACATAGCTTGTAGTTCACTGTTAAACCAGGATGCATCTTTTGATGAAACCGTCACAAGTTTGTTTGGTATAATTTTATCTGCTATTTTTAAAATTTTTTTTGTCCACGCTGAAACCTTTGTCGAAACATCCGGCTGTTGATTTAATAGGTTCGTCCAGTCATAAGAAGAAAGTTCTTGCCTAAAACTATTCCAATCGGTATTTTTATAGTTGTAAATTTTCCTTTGATATTTGAAAGAAGTAGTGTCAAAGTCTCCGATTGAAAATTGTACCATACAATGATCGCAAAGCGTCGACAGTTGCTGTACAACCTGTAAATTTGTTACTAAAGGGAAATTTGTGGTAAAAACTAAATCCAAGCAAGTCTGTGATATAGGTCTTGTCACTTTTGAGACTAATTGATAAAGTCCTTCATTAGCTGAAAATTGAAACAATTTTGCATCGTCAGCTGTCGTCGGTACAGTCGGACACCATTGATTACAATGGCCGTTGAAGTCACCAATAAGTATAATAGAGTCAAAATGAGTATTAGGATCAGAACGAACAGTATCAAGTACCTGACTTAAATGGTCTGTAAACTTATCCGTATCATGCCACTGAGGCCGATAGCAAACACCAATAAGATATGATTCATTCTGAGAAATATTAAGTTTAATAAACGCAGTTTCAAAAAGTGAATTTTCATAGTTGGTTAGTCTTTTAGTAACGACTCCCCTGCGAGAAAAAGAAAGAAAAGAAAGAAATAGCGAGCACTCTGTCGTATTCGTATCGTTTGTTCCACTAGAGAGAAGAATGACAGAAAGAAAGAACGAGTTTAACTTCATACGTAAAAACATATCACCGGTTCACAACTTACTTGAAAAACGTGTCCAAAGTACTTATAATAACATACGATTGATATTTTTATTTTTTATCGGCCAGCAGAGTGAATGAACCATCACGTTCGCGCCTATATACCCGTCCGTTGTGCACTATTATACTCTTTTTGTTTTCACCTTGCAATTTGGATCTTTCGGTTAATAGAAGTATCAATGTTGCCTTTGTGACATCTTCATAAACCAAAATGGATGAATTCACTTTTTTGAGCCTGTACAATGACTGAAGAACTTCAGTTCTTCTTGGTCTTGAATAGAAATGAGCGATGATTGAACGTGTCTTGCCATGGACAAATTTTCCCACTCTGTGTGAATTTTCAATATAAACACCAATTTCAGCCCATGGAAGTCGTCTATCGTTATGCCTTCATCGTATTCTCAGTCACTTTTATTTGAGCATGTCTGCTCCCAGTTTAAATACAGCAAATTACAAAAAAAATTCTCCTACAACGCGGTTTCCGTTTCGCCAGGAAAGCAGTAGTGCACATCACTGAACTTATCGCGTGCAAATATAAACAATAGCTTCAACGGCTCTGCACCCGTGTTGTGACAAAAATGTTCAGCATTTGCAGGTATCCATACTGATGTACCAGGTCCAACATCTGTTTCCACACCGTCGACGTTAACGGTTCCCTTCCCACTTAAAAAGTAGTACCTGAGTGAACAAAAATAGTTAAGTTCGTGAAGAATTCTAAATAAAACACAACTCACACTTCCTCTGCATCGTGCGTGTGACCTCGTTTAGGAGACACAGCCCCCGTCGGCACTTCCGCGATACCCATGGTGATCCCGGCCGTTGATGTCACATCACCATTAATGAGTTCCCACCAACGGACAGAACCGCGAAGCGGATCGCTCCAACCCTGTGTCTCGCAGTCCTCCAAGCGCCGAAAGATTGGCTTCGCTTTGTGCTCATTCATGACAGATAACACACTATTGTTGACGCATGTTTCGACGAATGTCTAATCTTTATCACAAAGAGAAGGGTCAAACCAAAACAAAAAAATATCCTTAGTTGTTTGCTTATCTGCAGTCGTAGAACGCGCAAGCGAGACGAGATATGCGATGACGAGGCGATCGAGTCGGCAAGAGAAACTACAATAGACGGAGCAACAGAATCGCATCAGAAATACCTTTGCTCCGACAAGAGACACTTAAATATACATAAAGTGTATAATTTCTCAGGTCATACCCGGTCTGAACCGGTCAATTGTAACTATCAATGCAAGCCAGAAATGCGATAAAAGATGCCCATATGTGTGTGTGTGTCGGACAGAGGAAACCGGTGGTTGACTAGTACACTACATGGTTTTGTGTGCCACTTATCAATCACAGAAGAAAATAAAGCAATAGTACAATAAGAAAAGAAAGCGACACATATCCCTTCCCTGTTCATGTTTCTTCCGCATTGTTGATCAATGCATAAAACTTGAATAACCTGAATGAGCTACATATTCCAGCATTATATAGTGAAAGAAAGAATTTTCTTTCGAGAGATAAAAGATAAAATTTTCTCGTGTTCCACATATTGAAAAGATGACACTGGCTGTTTGCTATTCAAAAGAAGACATCAGTACAGCATGTGTCATATACCTCGCTTATCGAGTTTTATACGTAAAAACTGGTGAAAAACGTTTCTCCATGTATAAAAAGACGCAAGGGAACGAAGAATAAGAACTTGTTGATCAATGCATAATACTTGAATAAGCTACCTATTCAAGCATTATATAGTGAAAGAAAGAATTTTCTTTCGAGAGATAAAAGATAAAATTCTGTCATGTTCTATATATTGAAAAGATGACACTGGCTGTTTGCTATTCAAAAGAAGACACCAGTACAGCATGTGTCATATACCTCGCTTATCGAGTTTTATACGTAAAAACTGGTGAAAAACGTTTCTCCATGTATAAAAAGACGCAATGGAACGCGTTTGGAGCGATTCTAGTCAGTGGCAATTGTGTCCCATGGCATGACTAGGAAAAACATAGTTCATCAGTCATGTTTAGACTGGGAAGATAAAGATGGCTACTAGCGCACCACTTTTGTCCATCTCATAGAGAGAAAATGAGAACGAGGTAGTTTATATCGGGTTTGCCGAAAATGACGTGCATCCTTTGCACATTGCTGATGTGCCAATTTCAGCTAACTATTAAAATAGTTCTATGTTGATGGCTGGAGCTTATAAAAGAATAGTCTATTGTAAAGATTTGTGTATGCCAGAAATACGACAAAAGATGCTGATGTGTGTGTCTGGAGGAGGGGGCCGGTGGTTGATTGTGATTATACGAAAAACAAAGAGAGCTGCCTAGTACGTGTTTCAGTCTTGCCTCGTCAGGCCTCATCAACTGGAAGGGGCCTCATCAGCTGGGCTCAGAAACAAGGTTGGTTTATAAACACGCTGATGGGTAGTACACTACATGGTTTTATGTGCTACTTAGGATCATGATACCAAGACATTGTTGCAGAATAGTAAAAAGCAAACACCGTTAAGTTAGCTAACAAAACAGATCGATGAAAATCAGTAATGATTTTATTTGTTTATTGAGAGCTGAATAGTCTTCAAGTCGTGACCTGGCTCTTCCGCGAACTAAAATCATATTTCACATACTGCTGCTTATCTAAAGCCTCTATCTCATTTGTCGGTGAGAGCGGTGGAGAAGAACAGAAGAGGTGAAAGTGAGCCAGCTAATAACATTTCTTCAGATAGAGGACATTAGTTTATGGTAAGAAGTTGATATTGGTGATAGTACTCGGTTCGCAGACGAGTCAATAATCCGAAAATTTCACAAGATCATATGACTTCTTATTTTATGATCGTGTAAGATCTTGTTACTTGTTGCAAACTGATCTTACCGTTTCTTATAAGAAGTTATAAGGAACAGTATAATTTATTAACAAAAATAACAATAAACTGTCTCGTGCAGACTACGGCTGAACAATGACAACTAGTGTTTTCATTTCAAAGAGAAATGGATCAGTTAAAAGTTGAAGATTCTTTTAAAATAATTACACCGAGGTAAGTTATAAAAAAGTTCACGACTTTATACGCATTTTTTTGTATTCTCTAGGTGTTATAAGATCAAATTTGTCGGACTTACTGTTAACAAATGAGAAAAAAAGTACAGAATATTGTTGGCATTTGGTTTTACGATGATAATATTGCTCCAAAAGAAAATCAGTCAAATGGAAAACCACCTGAATAAAATATTTGATTATTCAAAAACGTCTAATGATCCTTTTGAACTAATGTTGTATATTGACTTGCAGAGAACAGCAAAATTTATATTTACTATTTCAAGCCGATTCACTGAATGTTTAACTCGAATTGTTGTTAAACGCGAAGAATTTTTGACCATTTATATTCATTGTTTAACAGATATTAAGGTTTATAGCCGGTATCCGAAAGTTAAGCATAATCTGTTTGACAGTATGAATGCTTCATTAACTAAAGTATCAAGCGATATTCAAGATTATGAGGTGCGGAAAGCGCATGACGATGATGATGATGTGGGACAGGATGAAAACGATTAGATTTGGCAAATTTGCTAACTGCCAGATTTTGCCAAATATTTGATAGGCTCATACTTTATAGGCTCTTTGGAGGTAGTCAGCCATTTCTTTTTTCACTTTCTTTCCTTTCGCTCTTTCTCTTTTTTTAATGATCATAGGCTTAGTACTTGACCATACAGTCAATCACACAGTTTTTTTTTCTTTCAAAGAGTTTTTTTTTGTACAGTCAAAAACTGTATTCGTGGCAACAAAGTTTGTTGCCACGAATACAGTTTTTGTCATTCGATCTCGATGTTATATATATTCACAGTTATTCTTCATTCATTTCTTCTTCTTTTCTCGTCGACATCGTCTGTACACAGCTTTTATCGGTACTGAATGAATATTTTATTTAATGTCCATATTTAATCTAGAGATTGTTATTTTCATGGCAAAGATTGTGCCCGATTCTGGCGCGGTCCATTTCCAATAAATGAAATAAAATTCTGCTGTAGAAGTCAACCACCGAAAAGAGAAGCATCAGTCCAACAATACCATTGTTTACTGCTAGGTCACGAGACCTAAACTGCACAGAGATACTGTAGCATCAGTATACTACTGCGTGTTTATATAGAAGAAACATTTCCTTTCCAGGAAATGTATTTCATATAGTCACTATCTCATCATGCCATCCT